TGAAATTTCTAATCTTTTCATATAGAAATATATATTTAACATTCAAATATAGAATCAGAAGATAATAAATTCCAAAAAATAAAGATGTAGAAAAAAATAAAATATATAATCTATCAAAAAGAAAATATAATCGAAATTCGAAGAATAACATATAATTTTCTACTTCGTTAAGAAAGAAATACAAACATAATTCAAAGGTATATATAGCGATTTATGGAATCAATATCAATAAATAAAACTAATTATTTCTATCATTACGCGAATTTAAAATCAGAATATAAGTAAGAAATAATTCCCAGAATCAAGAAGTTTTGAAGTATGCACAATTAATTAGAGGGATTTTCGAATAAATCAAATCAAAATTTTCATATATCAAATAATTCTTTTTCGTAATCTTTTATTATAATACACTATAAAACCAATAATATAAAATATTTCTATATTATATTAACCATTAAATAATCTTATTTCTAATTCTATACACTCCTACCAATGAAAAATCTAATTTAATATTATTCCTTTCTCAAAATGCAAAAAAAAATACTTATGGATAAAAGGTAAGAATAAGGGCGCTTTTTTGTTTATTATCGTTGCGAGGGGGACGCATTTTGTTTTTGTATTGCGGGGGCGCGTTTTTTGTTTTGTTGTCGTTGTGGGAAGTGAAGCTCACTCACTCACTAGCTTCCTGTCCGCACAACGACAACAAAAACCAACATAAAGCAACTACAGCTAAATCAAACACGGGTTCCATGGACAAAATCATGAATTTGCTTGAACCAGACTAATTATTTACATAAATATAAGTTTATAATTTCGAATCATGAAATTTTAATTTCTAAAAAATGGTGGCCAGTCATACGGTCGAGATTTTGATTCGTTTGCATGATTTTCTGCCGAGTGACAATGCATTGTTCCTGCTGTGCAGCTTTGCTAGTCCATCATGGTTATGATTTCGAGAAGCAATCAAAGCTCTCCAGCTGCAATGACTAGCGAATTGGTGCAACGGCAGCGTGCTTCACTCCGCTGCAGATTGGTTAGACAAGCTGAATCTGCAGTCGGTGCTGAATAGCAAGACACGTGTAAAGCTAAGCGAAATACTTTTTCAGACTCAAGCGAACAATAACGTAAGCACTCAAAGGTACTCTCACTTATGCACGATGGCCCTGTCGCACATATGTCTGCTTTTCGGACACAACGATATAAGAAAACCGGAAAAACGCCTGAAGCTGCTGATACGTTGTCACAGCAATCAGTTGCAATCGGAGAATCTGTAATGCGCCTCTTGACGAGCCTGCAACAACAGCTTGAAGAACTTACATTTGGTCGACCAGCCGCTCCAGGAGACCGGGGCAAATCTAAACGACTTTACACACTCAGGATGCCAGCTTTAATTTGACTGCAATGACTGCGTGAACCTCATGAACTCTCGCTTTCCACTTGATTGCCATGGCGTCCTGCATGCCCGACGGAGGAAAACGGAAAACATAGGGAAACAAAACATCAGCACAGTTGGCTTGCCTCCTAGCTGGTGCGACCGACCGCGTAGCATGAGGTGGAGACTTGTGGCATGGTGTTCATACACTGCGGGGTGGTCAGCCATTGCATACGGGCAAAGCATCTGCAATCAGACTTTTGGCAGCCAACTGCCATTCAGATATCATGCGCAAATTCCGTGATCTCCTTGCTGGCAGGGTGTGCAGCCTGGAAGCAAAGGCCAGCGAGGTGTCAGATTGGAAAGCAACTGCAAGAAGCTTCTTTAGCAGCCAGCTCAAGCCCTGCCTCATCTTAGCCACTCGCAGTTCAAAGCCTGGAAATCTATGGACTCGGCGCGGTGCTTTATCGGGTTTCCCAAAAAGCTGTTTCGTGCTGTACCAAAATCTCCTCCTCATGCTAAAGGCGCAATGCAGAAAATGCAAACACAGCAACTTTCGCCGTTTCGCGAAGTTGACGAACATCCCCACAGACAAACTGAAGAAACGACAACAGGCTGGTTAAGGAACTGGGACTCTTCGTGGCCAAAGCCATGACCCACAGCCAATGGACAGTGAAAAGCCACCCCTCCGTCAACAGGCCACGCATTGCATCTTGCTAGACGTGAGATACGTCGACATCTGGCTGCAGCAGTGTCCAAACAAACTTCACAAATCCTGGCAAGATGTGCTCCGCTCCTATGTTGCGAGAGAGGGGAAACCTCTCCAATGCGCAGTTTCCCCCACCATGTCGGAACCCGTGACTAGACCGAAATCTCCGGCCGACTCGGAATATGTTCTGCCTGTTTTGCTGGGTCTGCGTGTCACTGATTCTCATTTTCCTGATGGAGCTTCCCACAGACTTCTTGAAGTGGCTAGGATGCTAGGTTTTGGCTGTGGCGTCGTCAGGAAAGTGTGAGCCGGGCACAAAATTCGAGCGTCTTGGAGGAGCGATGGAGATTCCGGATGGGTGCCGAGCCATCCCCCCGAAGCCCACAAGGAGCAGGCCAGCTGGGATACCACAGTACCCTTGGTCAGAATCGTTTCTCGCTCTCAAGCCGAACTACTCATTGCAAGCATCCCGCCCTCAAAATCCAACCATGCAGTGCACGGTTGCCCACCTGGTCGGCTGTAGGTCTCAACTTCGGGTCAACCGTCATGAGTGACGCGATCAAGTTCTGTTCGACAGGGCTTCGCTCATCAGAGTATGTGCATGGGCTGACTTGTAACATGTGTTTATCAGAGCAGACTTGCAGATGGTTTCTCGAATTTATGCCATCCTGCCTTGGGAGGAGCAGGAAGACTGTCCCACGGCTCACCCGAGAGGTTGTAACTGCCGGTGCGCACTTTGCGCAACACCTCCAAATGCGATACTGGAGGCTTCTTTTCACGTCACATCTCTGGAACGGAACAGGCATCAAGATGATTCCTCGATGCATCTAAATATCGCACATCTGGCACAGAAGAGGCTGCAATCGGGGAAGGGAATGTCACACCCGCTCGTGAACATGAGACCAGCCGCAGCATGGAGAGCAATAGTGCTGCAGCTGCATTATATTCACAACCAAGCATTGCAGGTTCATAGTGACGTGCCATATCGAGAGCACGCACTAGTCAACCGCGTGCAAACAGCATCCAAAGTGCCTCAGAATCTGTAGTGGCATAAAAGGGTGGAGCTGCTGACAGCATCATGTAGATCAGCACGCCTCACATGAACAAGTCATTTCAAGTCAAGGAAGACGGGAAGACTGCAGCTGTCTACGACAAGCAATTCGTGGCGAGACTGCACTTCCGGGGCTGGCGTATTCCGGTTCCCCGTCCTGCGGACCACATGTCGACGGGCATGCTGTACTTGGTGCCGACCTGAAAAGGCATGAATGGGGAGTGCTGTGGAACGAACTTCGACTTTCTGGACCCGTAGACTCTGTACGCTCTGACTGCAGACAAGTTGCCACGATTTCTGGTGCAACAGTGTCGGGTGATCCAAGCCGGTCGTTGAGCCCATCGCCTGCGCCGCTTCAAGGAAGTAGCAAACACGCAGATGCAGACAATCCGGGACTCTGGGACAGATAGGTGCCTAGCATTGCCGGATGCGACAATGCATGTAATGTGAAACGTGCTGGTGTTACCAAAGACAGTCTATGACACTTTGCCTTACTTTCAAGTTGAATCATAAGAACATGGATTTTCTTCAGGGGTTACACAATGAGCGGTTTGCTGTTGTGTCCCAACTCCGCTAAGTTCAGTCATCGCGGCTAAAAGCTGTATCATCCGTCATCAGCTTGCTGCCGGCCTTTGTCATGGGCCGCAAACCCGAAGTCGCAGAGCTTGAAGATCTCAGCATGCTGTACAAGGTCAAGGGACTTGACTAGACTTGACACCCGGACTGGTATACAGCCTGGATCAGCCTGGTAGCAGGTAGCATGGCAAGGGCATTCACAGCGACTACATAGAGATGCCCTTATCCCAGTGTTGGCCAGGTCTGGGGGAAGCATCCACCTGACCGTTTTAAGCACTCACCGATATCCTGAATGAAAACTGAATCGACACCTGCTTCACTTTCCCGGCTCGGCTGACTCACTGGAGACAGCTAGAACAGCAGCTTCTTCCCCGGAGCTGCTTCGAGAGGCCCCTACATTCTCTTCCACGGGCAAGTCCATGTGCTTCAGCAGGATGTTCTCGCACTGCGCGGAAGAAGAGCGTCACATCACTGATGCCCGTCGTGCATTTCAGGGGCACATACGTATGGCGGCCCCCCCTTTTCTCCGCAATCATCTGTTTCGATGAAGTCGGCGCCGGCGCACGAGCTCCGCTTTGGCCTGCTCCATGCAACTTGCGGTTTCCAATGAAACTTCCCTTGCATGAGCAGCACAACTCCCAGGCTGATAAAAATGATAAAGCGTGTTCTTCAGCGCTCATATGCCCCCTGCTTGGGTCCTCCAATTTTGGTTTCTTCGCGCGATCGGACCTCAGCGCTCATTTCATGGGACGCTGGGGCCAATGCTGAAATCCTCGAGGTGAAAAACACGGCAAGGATGTGCGGCAGTGGGAAAATGTGGGAAGGGGAATCCCAGTAATAACCGCTCTGATTCTCTCTGCCACCGTCGCCAATCCATCAGCACTTGGGCCCCGACGACGCTTGCGAAGTTGTGCCTGAGCCAGCAGTCGAATGCTACTGGGCGCTGGGGCGCAGGTCATCAAAAGATCGCAGACTTTGAGTTGCTACAGGTCGAAACCGTGCACTGATATTCCTCCAAGACGCCGGAGCGCAGCAGCCGCCACGCTACAGCTGCAAAGCCTGACGAAGAATCTTCTTCCGCTGCTGCGACTGCAAAGCTACCTGGTCTTCCTTTCGTCGTTTAGAGAGTTGAAGCATACTCTCGCATCGTCGCCTATGGCGCCCAGCCCGGCGGCCGCGACAGCTGCACTGACACCGACTGATGACCTGCAAGTTTACACACTGCGCGAGCGCTTTCACAACCTGAAACCGCCCAAAGCCTCAGCCACAAAAGGGGGAGGGAGAGCCCGGTAGTTGCCACAGATACAGCCATTTCGGGTTGGGATCTTCAGCTACGGGTCTAGAATTCGCTGAGGTCTTGCGAGCGGGTTGCTGCTCGGCAAATATGCGCATCAGAGCACACAAGCTGTCGCATTAAGGTGCTGCTTCAACATGTAAAGCCGAAAAGCTGCACACAAGGTTGCCTAACTGTACTTCTGACCTAACGAAAGCATCCACTGCACCAAGAAACAAGCTGTTAGTCTCTTGGGGTTGCTTCACCAGTGACGCGTGACGGGTTGTGCTCTGTGATCGATTGAACTACCATACGCCTGGCAGGCAGTCTAATGCACTCCCCTAAAGACTCAGTGTTCTCTGTTTTCGGGCCAAAGGACTGAAACTTTCTGGCATTTCCCGCCAAATCTTAGTGCCTCTCACTACACACGGTTTCCTGGCACGATGCTCATGGATACCGGGTGGGAGAGTCGGGGGACGGTAGAAAAAAAAGAAAGCCACGTCCTGACTTATCCAGACCGACGTTACAGACTTACCCAGAAGCTTTGCAGACCTTTCCAGCTTTATTCGTCCCGACTTTTCCCGAAGCCGTCCAGACTTCTCCCAAAACCGTCCAGACTTACTTGACAACTCCTAGGAGGGGTACTATGCAGACCTGCCCCAGAACCCCCCAGACTTATCCCAGAACCGTCCAGAGCTATCCATCAGACCTATCCCGAAACTACCAGAAATTGGTTTAGGACTGGAGCAAGATGTGGATAAGCCTCACCACCTCCCCCAACCCTTCGACATCCATAAGATGTCCTGGCTTTGTCCCACTCCTTCGTCATTCAAGCTTCTGGTCCCGACTGCAAGCATGCACCGTGGCACGGGAAACTTGGGAAGGTGTCACGGCCGTGTTGTGCAAGCCTTTCCGGTTGAGGGTCAAGTTCTTGAGTTCCACCCTGTGGCATGAAACCTAGAACGACGTTAACCGATCGACATGATTTTGGAGGCTCCAGCATCTTCGAATTCATAGTCACTGTGCCTATTTGATGCGCAGCCAGCATGCTGTCAGCAAGGTCTTCCACGTTGGCGAAACTCAAGTTGCTTCGCCGTTTCATTGTCTCCCCCCCCGAACGACACCGCTGCCCTTCCGGTAACACTTGCAGTCAAGGAGCAGTTTCACTCCGAGGATCTCAACCTGTCCGTGCCCACAGCCAACGGCATGATACATCTCTAAGCAGAAATTTTTCTCAGCAGATATTTTCCACAGCCACAGACCCGCCTCCGGTTCCAGAGCACCCTCCTCCCTCAGAAGCTCATTTAGAACCTGCCAGAATCTGTCGCTGCGCAGTGCCATGCACGTTACTCCATCGCAATCCTCGAGCTGCCCGGAGCTTAGCCGCAGTGGACCAGGTAGGCGGAGCAGCGAAGCGCGGCGTGGTGCGGAGAGCTCCTGGCACTAGTTAGGAAGTTGTGTGTCCGTCTGTGCCTAGTTTGCCATGTCTTGCTTGGCACGACAATCCCTGTCCGTTTACTGCCGTCATAGTAGCTAACAGCTGCCCTGTTCTCTCCTGCTGTCCATAAGCACGCACTTCGTGCTGCCTTCGACAAGGTACGATCCGTGCACATACAGGCTCGGGCTTCTCTCTCACCATCCCCGTCTGGTTGCACACATGCACGGTCTCCAATGCTGACCATGACTCTGGGGTCTGTACCGGATGGAATGGTAACAGTTGGCAAGCCAGCTGTGAAAGATGTAGTTCTTGGCGCTGAACTGTCAGTGATACGCCGTACATCCATGCCAGGCTGGAAGTCGATGACTATTCGGACTGCTGGCCTCACTGAGCTCATCAGCAAGATCGTCTACGATAGAGCGAACCTGCCCACTGACAACTACCCAACTCAGCCGAGACTGCAGTACAGGCGAGCTTCCGACTCAAAAGCGGTCCTTCCTAGTTCAATCAACGGTTGCATGCCATGATGTTTTGCCGGGAGTAGGTTGCCAGATCATGCTGGCACCCGGAACCAAAGACCAAAAATGGACGGTAGCACCGGAAGGTGGTGCGGCCGCTCCAGTAATCCACACCCACACAGCGCTATCAAACAGCCGACCAGAACACTGCTGCGAGTATTGGCAGCGTCTTCGCCACAGCTAAGGCTGGATTTTGCAACATGTGGAAGGTCTTCGGCTAGAAAACAGCCCTCACAAGACTGCAGTGACAACATCTCTGTGTGTGTAGAGTTTGGCATTCCGAATCGCGCACAACTGGGGTCGCAGTCCTAGAACCCAGATGCCGTAGATCATACCGGTAACGTTTCACAGACGACAGGTCATCATCAACATGTGTTTTTAACTGAGAATTCTTTGCTGCACCGCCTATCTCAACCCAGCTGCTATTACTTGCCACCGCAACATGTGAAAGAATGATGGCACACTGACATGGAAATTAGATGACGCCACATCTGAGAGCCATCGCCGTGAGACCATCAGGAACGAGTGAGCCGCCTGTTGGTCCTGATCTTTGGCATAGGTCCTCACGATCTCCATGCAAACGGACCTCACTGCTTAAAAATATGAAGCGGGCCGCAAAAGGGAACTGAACGACGGGCAACAGCAGGTGGCCGTGCGAAGGCTTAGGGGATGCTCTGACCCGTTGGTTCCTGTAACACACTGGGCCATGCACATTCGGATTCGCTTCTCCACGTGTGGCAGCAAGGCATCTGTCTTCTCAAGGTCGTCTTCCGTGAAACCCTCAGCCTCAACTGCACACCCGTTCTGTAGCAAGCATGCAGACTGACACGCACAGCGAACCCCTCCTTCCGGGAATTGCCAGAGGAGGGCATCGAAAAGATCTGAGCAGAGCACCATACTCAAAGAAAGTCACGAGCTTCTCGGAATAGAATGCCGCGGCATCTGCCGCTCCACGGAACACGTGCGACACAGAGCAACACGGAACTAAATGTGGATGGGATGCCATGACTTCTGCTTGAGTTGAGTGTGCTGGCTATATATCGTGCCAGAATGTTCCAGATTTTCCAGTTCAACGCCTGCTTTGCAGATACTGGGTCGCTGCGAGTCGTCGTGTTTGTTCCACAGGCAGGGCTACAACCCGCGCCCCAGACGCCTACTTTTCACGCAGGCAAATCGAGAACATCTTGCCGAGTTCTTTGACTCAGCCGAGGCATGCCGAGGCATCATCCATGTGGACCTTTGAAGACAACTTTGCAGTCTGCTATGCGCAATTCGTCGTGGGATCTTTAGCAGGCAAATGCAGGCAATTTGCGTGGCATCTTGCAGAAGATTGTCAGAGTCTGGTGTTCTCTGTGACTCCGTGGTGCAAGAAAGCTGTTCCGTCGTCGGTATTGAGCGACCGGCTTTGGGCGGGTGCCTTGGCATCGGGCAGCCAGGCCTGTCACCGCAGGTGCTTGGAGCTTGAACTTTGAGGCAGCTCCGGGTTTCCGCAAGGTAAGGTGGCATGGGACGGGCAAGAATGTCTTCAGCTGGTTACGTGCCCTTAACAAATGCAACACACAATAGCGCGCGAATTAAGCACTTCCGGTTATCAGTGGCACCCTCCCATACCCACCGTTACAGTACTCAATTAGGAGCGTAATCAAGGCACACTTTTATCTGTGCCTTACGAGATTTGACGGGCACACTTTACGCACGCGTGCGTGACGCGTGTGCATTGCTTTTGCCTGAGGTGCCTTCAGTGCCTTCGGATCTATTTCTGTTTGCACTTGTGCGCCGCTGGTGTCCTGGCCAGCAGAGCTTGTCGGCTACACGAGGCGAAAGCGACTTCGGCTTCTAGGTGGCCTTCTCCATGCGACCGCTTGCATGTAGTATCGAGACCTGGGACTTCGGAACCATGCAATACAGAGACTGCGCATTTAGCTGCCGTATGCTGCAGTGTTGGGCAGATACTGACAAAACTTGGCGATTTCAGGTTCACGCACGGAAGACTTCTGCCCCTGGTGGTCCCGTCATCTCAGCATCCTTGAGACAGCCGGGTAACTTGACACCATTGCTCACTGCCTTGCAAGTCTCGACAGCTTCTGGCCGCAATTTGAGGCCTTCGCGTTCCTTGTTTCCACCCGCTTACCAGCTCGACCTGATTTCAGCTGCTGCGAGCCGGTGCAAATGAAGGTAGAGCTGGCGTAAGCCGTGTCAGTTTGCAAGTCGGGCATATGTCTGCTGAGCACTGACTGATGTACCACCACGTGAACGAATTTGGAGTCGGGGCTGCCTGCCGTCTCTTGCAATCTCGTCTCGCTGCGTGTGCATGCGTGCACTTTCACGGAGACTTGCGAATCACTGGCCTCTGCCTTGCGCTTCTTGGCCGGTGGTGCATCTACAAACAGGTTGGCAAGCATTTGTGTATCACGTGCGACAAAAACTCTTGCGGGCTAGCCTGGAGCTCCCTCGGGTCTGGCAGTCAGATTCTCGCGCAACTGGCCGACTACCCAGTGCCTCACTGGGTAAGGACGCTCAAACTCGCTCCGCCAGGAGTAAAGCATGCCGAAACAAGAAGGATGTTACAACATGCTCACGTTGACAACTCTGGTTGTTCTGGTCATGCGTGGAACCCCGGTCAAGCTGGGCCTGCGACCCAACTCCCTTCAGCATGTGCAGGGATGACAAAGTCAAATTATCTGCGCCAGGCAGGCAAAGATGTCAAGAGGACAATCACCAACACGATTGAAGACGGATGGTCTGTGCGACGTTCAAATCAATCGTGTTGCCGCCATGAAGCAATAGTTGACGAACTTCGAACGAAGATTTGCGGCTCAAAGAGAGGCCAAGGGAGCAAGGCTAGCTTGCGTGTGCACGTGTGTGTGTGTGTTGTGAAGGGTTGAATTTCAATGTTTGTTCGTGGCTTGTGCTGAGGAGACATTTAGAGGGATTAGGAATTGATTAGGCCAGTCCCTAGTCGCCGGAAGCTGCTGAGCAATGTGGGTGTTCCTGCGGTGAGGCTGTCAGGTGTCGCAGTCTCACCCAAGACATACTGAGTGGACATGCAGCTGAACGACTGAGCAAATGTAGGCCTAGGCAAAGCAAATTATCTGCAGAATGCAGAGAACCTCTGACACACGCTCACAGCCCGGAGATGCCCAAGACTAACATCGTGAAGAGAGCAATCTTTAGAGGCACTTGCCTTGCTGCACCAAGCACTGGCCAACAGAGCGAGGAAGGGTAGCCGGAGACAGAGAGATAGAGTCGTGGCCTCCCCGCTCCAAGCTCTCTTGCACGGCACGCTTGGCCTTGCGCAGAGCCGGTGCCTGGGAATGGGAGTCGACCGAGGAGGCCAAAGTGTCGGGAGGACACGGGTGCTGGGGCTCCTGTCTGCTTCCTGACTGCGGCTGCAACGGTTAAATGTTGCCCCATGACAACCTTCCTCCAAAGAGTTTGAGACACCTGGGAACTGGAAGCATTGAGATCTCTTGGTCCCAAACATGGTGTGCATCCTCGCCGGTGTTCTTGTGCCGTGCAACTGCCGCTGCATGCGCCTCAGGCATTTGGAGCTGCTTCCGTGAAGGAGCGACGGCAGTAGCGACGTCGTCGACTTGCAACTTTATGAATGGACAGCTTCCACTCTTGCGGGTGATGCTCTGAGGTGAAGTCACGGTCGAAGGCAGGCATGAGATCGGCAGCACGTGGATCCGTCTCCGTCCTGCAAACATGTGCGGCACCACTCAGACTCATGGATGCAGCTGCAAGATGTCAAAGCTGAGCAGGCGGCGGAACTGATCCATGCTTGGCCTGTCCCTTTGTGTCAATTGCGGCTGGGCCTCAAAGGAGGTGCAATGCCTATATGCCCAATGCCTGACTTCTCGACGGCACGGCCCATGACGAAGCTCGCTTTGGATCGCACATGCTGCCACGTGGCCGTCGAAATCTTCCAGGCTCCCGGCTCTGGCCAAACCGCGCCTCAGCCGCAGCGGCTGCGCGCCGGCGCCTCGGGCTGGGTCTCTTCGACACCCCGGGCCCCCGTTTCTCTCTCAGATGTGCACTCTCGTTTACAGTGAGAGCTTGTCAGCAGCAATGTGCAAACAAGGCGTCGTGCGTGTGTGTATATGGTTCTCGTTCGTGAACTTTGGCGGGGTCACGTCCCAATCGAATGCAGTCTTTGTGCACTGATGCAGAACGTAAAGATTTGCTTCAATCATCGCTGCGCATTGATTCTCATCACCGTTGTTGCCCAGCAACCGTTACTGCATTGGCCAGCCAGGGTTTGCGCAGGCTTGAACGTTCTGCTCGCTGAGGGTCTGCACATGCACGGTTACCGCAATTGTTCTGAACAAACAATCAGGCAAGCACAGCATGCCATCCAGCAATTCGAACCAACTTGTCGAGTGCGTGTGTGTGTGTGTAGGTGTGTATATGTGTGTGGGTGTGTGTGTGTAGATGTGTATATGTGTGTGTGGGTGTGTGTGTGTGTAGGTGTGTATGTGTGTGTATATGCGTGTCTCTGTGTGTGTGTGTGAACACAATGCGTTTTGCCTTCGTCCCTGCGTGCAGCTGGCAAGGTCGCCGACAGTTCGGAGATCAGCTTCGGCTACATGCTGAGGCAGCCGCTTCTCTGAAGCATCCATTCGGCAGCCAGGACAGGAATGTGGGTTGGAAGCTTTGGGTTGTCTGAGTCTGGTGAATAACCTCTCGGTAGATACTTGCTGTTGTTGTTGGCTGCACAGTCACCATGTAGTTCCGCTTGATTGAAGTTGCGGCTGTACTGACAGCTTATTAATTGTAGCTTGGCTGGTCAACCTGCATACATAACACAAAGGATGTCCATAAGACGGAATGACAACGAGCTGCACTTGAGTGTCTGCTTGACATGTTGATGGTTCAACAGAGGCTCGGTCCTCAGGCACAAGTTACAAGAGCAGTGGCATCCAATGTAAGGCAAGCTGTCAGTCGCTGGTTGCCACAGGCAAGAGTCAGCTCTCCTGCCTTAATATCTCGGTGCACCACCTTCTGTGCGTGCAGATATTGAAGAGCAGACTGCGCGGGCGGTCACATTAACACGCATGTTGAGGTAATGCTGCCCTCCACTGCGGGACTCAAACCCAACGAGCGTGCGTTCCCAAGGGTTTGCCGTCTGAAACACAAACGCTAGCACAGCAACTCAACTCGTTGGTTGCTGGGGGGCGTGCCAGCACATGGCAAGTCGCGTGCACCGCCTGCTTCTCAGTGAAGCCGCGCCCAGTTGTCTGGCCAGGGGATGTGGATGTGTCCATGACTGGGGAAATTGACTGAGAGAAGGCGAAAACCTGAACATGTGAACTCCTAGACTCGAATCAAGAGACTTGTCGTTTCAGGACAAGTCCGTGCCCACTACATAAAGGCTCGGATAATGACTGATGATCTTCAATTGCGAGCCTTTGACTGGGCCACGATAGCATCGAAAAGATCTCCGCCACGGCAGTACCTGAAGGCACTCGACTGTCTCAATTCGCGTAGATGACATGCTCGTCCTTACCCGCATCGAAATCGTCGTGTGTGCAGTGAAGTTTTCGGACATGATTCGTGTTCGCCCAGCAGCCACACAGAAAATAGCTTCTGGCTGTAGGTAATGTGGCCTCCCCCCGACATCCCCGACCAAAAGGTTTTGGCTTGAAAAATCTGGGATCCATGACCTCTGGACCAAGGTTCCTAGATTGGGGGCTCTTGGGTTGGCTTGGGTCTGGGTATCTTTGACTAAGTTAGAAGGGAATTGGGGGATCCCAGAGTTTGTGGGATGGCTTGGGTGGAGGGTCTGCGTTTCTCCGCGGATGCCCGGGTCGTGGTTGGGATAATGCAAAGCTCCAAACCAAGCCCCGATCACTCCAAGATAACTACCACCGCTAAAAACCTTTGATTTTGAAGACTTTTCCCTCCAGCCTACGCTCCCCTCCAGAATCGACGAAATCTGAGGCCTGGTACTGTGCAGTAGTACAGCAGTAGTACCGTAACAGTACAGTAGTAGTACAGTAGTACAGTAGATGTGTAGTAGTACAATGGTTGTACCGTAGTTGTACAGTAGTAGTACCAGTAGTAGTACAGTAGTGGTGCAATATGGTTAGGGTTTGAGGGATTAGGGTATAGGCAGTTTAGGCTTAAGTGGGTACAGGGAGACTTTCGGGCTTCAGGGCCAGGGTTTTAGGGTTTGGAGGGGGGGTTCAGGTCGTGGCTGCTTTTAGATTGACCATTACTAGAAGGGAAGCAACACAACCAAAAAAACTTGCCAGACCCAAAACAAACGCATTAACTAGGATACCCAAATTTTTGGTCCCGGCTTGAATAAGAAAAAACACGCATTAAAGAACCCCACTGGATTAAAAGGGCCGCCACATTACCGCCCGTGCAACCCACACAGGTGCCACCGCTGAAGGACAGCAGCAGGCGCACTCGAGTATCAGAGTCACGGTGCTGGATTCATCAAAATATTCGAGGAGCTGGCAAGGGCAAGAACATGCTCTCAGCAAAATGCATGCAGGCCCCTCTACCCTTGTAGTACACAATAGTGATGCGACAATGTTTCTGTAATTATCTGACCTTATGCCTGGACTCCGGGCACACGACAAGATGCGATTTCCAGCTCGCAAGCATTGGGGGATGACAACCCGTACATGATCCACTGTTCTGTAAAAAGCTTCTTGCCTCGCAGATGTGCGGGTGCTTCATAGTCAAGTGAAGCTTCACCTGCAAGTCTCATGGTAGCTGAAGACAACATGTGAGAATGGAAACTTCCGACGAAAACTCTCGGACAGGCATTCCGCATCATCACGTTACTTTTCTCGGCAAGCTCTGGCGTCAGCCAATTCCAGACCTGACCAGGGAGCAACTGGACAACTGTCACCTTGCCGCCAAGCACGCAGCATGTACTGCGACAGAGCCGGCCAATCCTTGCCAACGGAATTGCTTCCTCGTTCGGGTCCCGACGCTGATAGCAGTAAAACCTGCAGGCACAACTGCAATGTCTTGGACTGTGAAATGAGAAGGGCTTGGGCTCTTCGTTGTTGGATTCAACCCAAAATTTCCTTCGGAATCGACCTAACAGATCGGTTGGTACAATGCAAACCCGGTTTTAGCAGAGCTGTACATCTTGCGGCATGATGTGGCCACTTCACGTTGGATCGGACAGCGGCTAATCTCGCTTCGGGGGGACTTCTGGGCGGTTGCATGCCCCGGCCTGTGTCCCTCTTCGGCTGCCCAGCTACAAGCCTCTGCTGAAGACATGCGACATGTTCTGAGCTCGTTCTTGGCCATTTCTCAGGGACCGACCAAGGCCGGAGTTGCGATGTCCTGGAAAGGGAAAATCACCTTTTTGGCCTCACGAGCTGGCAGAACTGCTCATGATTACCGAGGCAGCTCATTTAGGATGGGTGGCCCTTCCATATATTGCGCAGGTCCTGTCATGCAACAGCGGTGCAAGAAAAGGGCCAAAAAGCCTTGCGACAAAGTGTACAGCTGGAACAAGAAGTTCCTGTATGAATGAGGCAAACGGGTCTCCTCGTAGCTCAGCACTCGGCATCCAGGCTGACAGAGCTGCAGGAACTGCCTGTCAAAGTCAGACGATCGATCATGAACTCAAGAGGCCGGCTTCAAAGCCAGGCACCCGTCCCTCCATGCTCTGTTATTTCCGGCAGACCTTGAAGTATAAATCTAAAGCGGCAAGTGGGTGTGCGACACTAAGGCAAAAGAAGCCCGCCGGCCTGAGGCTTGGCCAAGAGGCGGTTGGCAAACAAACCTCAGAGGCCACGAAGGCCTAAGGGGTCGACATGCCGAGTCCAGAAGAATCGCTACAAGGCTGGAAAGATAGGGTGTCGGCATGCAAGAAGATCAGCGTCGCTGCTGAAACCTCAGAGCAAGATGCGCCTGAAATTCGGATTTAAACACGAGCGCCCCGACCTCTTCAGGCGTTACCAGCTTCAGAAAATCACCGTGATGCGCCTGCATGAGACCGACTTAAGGTTCAGCTTCCTTTGATTGACCCCCTGCGTATATCATCTTGTTCCATGTCATCATCTCATTTCGTGCCAGTCTGACACGACATGACGTACTGCAAGCACTGCAAGCCTCCAGGAAAGCGTGCGGCGGTCCACCCACCCGAAGCAGCCGGAACTGAAACACGGGCAAGAGAAACACACACAGAACAAAACACGTGTTTGCTTGCAGCCGGCCATGCCACGACAACTGTCGCAGCGTCGTCGCCGTGCCTTGCCTTCGCATCCAGAAAGCTCATGCTGAAAAGATCTGGACACCTCAGCTGCGACCAGGATCGACCAGGTAATGCAAACGTCCCGTCATTTGCGGTCCGAATTAGTCGCCCGGCCGGTCTGTAAACCAAGGCACCGATGGCTGAGACGGTCACTGGCCTCTGCTGCCAAAGAGAATCGCTGCCACGCCAGCTCCACGCCTGGATTCCAAGTCGTCGGCCCCCCGCTCTTCTCGCAGATGGAGGTTCAAGCGACGTTGAACGGTCATTGACGCTCAGAGACGCGGCTCGACAAGTTAATTCGGAAGTTTGGTCGCGAACTGCACGGCACTACAATGGCCCTTCCTCTCCTTGCCATGCTCACGAGCTGCACAAAAGCGCCCTTATGCTGCACTGGCGTTTGCCCGGCCTAGGACAGTGGCCCCCGCAAGGAAGAGATGAAGGCCAACGCGTCCACGCCCCATGCCAAGCTCAAGCGCCACCTTGGAGAGATTTAAAACAACAATACACAAGAAGATCAGAACGAGGACCCGCCTCGTGATTTCGGCCGGGCATACCCTGCGGGAGGAAGTGTAAACCTTTCAGCATCGACTCCCGAATCGGCATGCTCATCAGCGTGTGATAGCCACCCCCCCCCCCCGCACCTGGTGCCATTAGAGCCAAGGCTTTCTCGGTGCCCGCAGGGAGAAGCTCCTGCAGAGTGTCAAGTGTTGATCCCACGGAGCTCGGAGGCTCGCAGCAGCTGGGGTCCCCGTATTGGAGCAGCTGTGTCCCACCAATCCTGCCAAACAGTCAAGTCGAACGGTGCGATGAGCTCCTATAGCTCGCAGTTCTGTCTGGCGGGCGGACCAGGCAGCCCTGGCTGCATCCATCACGCCCGTCCATGCAAACCTCTGCCACAACTATCTGGGCACGTGCATTCACGATTGCACAAGTCTAACAGGTATTATTGGTGTGTTGCTTGCACATGCTTGTACCGGGTTGACTTGCCTGGACTGCTGTGGAGTGCGCCGGACGGATTGTGGATCCTTCCATCGAGGGCTAATGCACAGGGATGCACTCGTCACGCCATGACCAGAAACTCTCCCCAGCTGGGCCGCCGGGAGCAGTGACTGGACACAGATCGGGTGCCACTGTCGGCGATCATCCCATCTTTTCTCAGTCCTCGTCGTAGGCCTAGCGGGATGTCCCATGTGTCGTAGGACTGATATGTCTACAAGTAACGGAGAGCTAAAGACTGAATGAAGATTCCAAGCTAAGACAACTGCCAGTGCTAGTCGGTCCAGAATGCTCTGTGGTACCTGGCTGAGGGACTTCACTCATGGCTGCTTCTTGGAAACATAGTCGGCCCAACCTCCCAGTCAACTTTCTCCTGACGCAGCCTGGTCTGAGTTAGTAAGCATATCCAGGACGAGTAATCGGCCCGGCCTGGGTGCCGCGAAGGCTGGAAACTCCGAAGTGGCAGCGGTGGCCTGGCATTCCGAGAGACCCGAAGCATCCTGCGGCCCTGCAAGGCCCTGCGGGATTTTCCGGACAAGGCCCGGGCCTGGCTTTGGGTCACACTTGGGGCTGACAGCCTTGACATCCTTCCTCCTCGCAGCAGACCAATCTTCTCAAGCTCTTGAACTGCACCTGGAGATACCTGGAGTCCTGAAGGGCTATCGCCGTCTTGGCTGGCAGCCTTCAGGGCAGCAAGGCGCCTGAGCACTCGAAAGCGCTGGTGCTGGAGTCTGCCTGCTCCCCTCGCTAACAGAGGGTGGCTGCCCCGGTGCCTGGCAATCTCTTGCTCCCTCTTCTCAAGTGCTGCTGCTACCTGGCGCTTGGACAGAGGCGGTTTGCATCCATTCAAACGACATGCATCGACCAAAGATGTAGATCAATGCACAGACTTGTAGCTAATCACGTCAGCGCCGGCATCTGCAACTCCACCGGCATCAGAATCTCCTCCGGCTGTCAGCCATGTCAATGGCAACGCCAAAGCCCCAGCTCGCCTGGAGCAGCACCTTCGGCCTGGCCGGCCTAGCAGTCGCGTTAGCCGTGTCCTCTATGCTGTGAAGTTACTGCAGTCGGCGGCCTGCTGCAAAACAGGCAGGGCCGTCACCGGCAGACTCCTGCAGACGCAGAATTGACTCGTTGTCCGACTGCCGGAGAAAGAGCCGAAACTCGGGTGAGAAGCTCGACACTCTGCTGGGCAGCTGCAAGTGGCTGCAACCCTTTCCTGAAGCTGGGCTGTAGATCATGATCTGTTCCTTCTCGCCCCAAGTCCGACAGCCTTGATGTTGCATTCAGGGGCAATGCTGCTACTCGTCGAATGGAAGCACAATGGGCACAAATCGCAAGACTACTGAGAGCAGCGGTCGAGCCATGGCACGCTACTGTACAAACTTGGATCGAAGACGCGAAGGGAGTCGGCAGTTTGAGGCTGCTCTCACAGTCTGTCTCTGAAAGCAGAAGGCAGTGTCAAAACCCACTCCAAGGCGAGTGGTTGAAAGCTTGTAGGGGCCGAACCGTGGAGGCGCAAAAACTATGTTCTCAGCCATCGGCTTTGCTGCGCCTGGCATCAGGGTCGGCAGATGTTCGGTGTGCCCATGGACATACGTAGCAAACATACCAGACATGACAACATACATCCGTCCATCCATCCACATGCGCATGCGTGCATGTGTGCATGCACGCCGACCGGCCTGCGTGCCTGCCTGCATGTACGCATACATACCTACCCAACTGCCTGAGTACGTAATTACCTATGTATATATATATATATGTACGTGGTTGCATGTATGAAGACATACATTTACATACATGCATGCGTGGATATGTACATAATCAACACATACATACACACACATACCTACCTACCTACCTACCTACCTACCTACCTACCTACCTACCTACCTACCTACCTACCTACCTACCTACCTACCTACCTACCTTACCTACCCACCCACCTACAGACAGGCAGACGCTGGGCAGACAGACAAGGGGACGGACGGACAGACAAACATATCGACATGCAGACAAATACCGAATGACCTATGTAGAGAACCGGCAGGGATGTGAATGTATGACTGAAATTCTTGACAGTGCACGGGGCAACTCAACATCTGAGGTCGGCAAATGCAAGGTGCAGGACAGAAATGCATAGAAATGCGTCAGGTTGTTATTCCTACAGGAGAGGCATTCAGTGACAAAGGCCTGTCGCACAGGCATGGCTAGCTTGCAGCCAGCGACATGCTCTCGACAGCGGGTTGCTTTCGGACTGCCTTGCTTGCGCCAGCTAGCTGCTACCACAAGCGAACATGAGAGACACTCAATGTTCCCTGATCTATGGCCGACTAGCCGTGATCACATCTGGCAAGAGTTGTCTGGTACTTAGTTGCGGGTCATTGCAAGTCTGTCATTATGCTGGATCCGAAAGGGGCAGCAGCAAAAGGTACCTCGGTCGATTTGGCAGAGCTTTAGAGCACGGCAAAGCAACAAACGTTGCCTCACCATCGTCTCCCAGCAAATACTTCATGTCCCTGGGCTGCAAGCGTCCCTGCAGCAGTGCAAGGACTCAGCCAGCGCGAAGAACCATCCACAACAGAAAAGGGAAGCCCGAACGTCACAACACTAATGTCTGCATAGCTTCTGCTGGATTCGAAATGCAGGTTATGAGGCCAATGTGGGCAAAAAGATTGCGAACAAATGCATGAAATAGCATTCCTTCGTCGTGCCTTGCGTACTATTTTGGCTGCCATCTCCTGTCCGCGCGGCTCGGCTGTGATGATGTCAGGTATGTTCAGAAACCGAATCGTGTGCATGTCATCGTACACTCGCCCTCAGCATAGTCCTTGTGAGGACCCGAACCAGACTTCAGCGTGCACCTTGCGAATGCAGAGGGCTTGTGTGCCAATCTGGTCTGTCCCATACAAGCAACTGAGGTATGCTTTCATTACAAGTAGTCTCCCAACACTAACACCAATAATCTGCACTTAGCAAATAAATCCCTCCTACACACGCTCAATACGTCACGTCGACTGACACCAGCCTGACTGAAACATCAGAACATGTGAGTCTGGTCTTTTTCAAAATGACAAAGCCGACTAGCGAGCTTCCTGTGCTCGGCAGACGCCAGGACAGCCAGGAGCACTCAGACTCTTTGTCTCATTGCCTCCAGACCAGTCCGAAGGTGCCCTCGCCCAGTGGCCCGTTCCCTACCAGCGCGTACCTGCCACGTGGTCTGAGTCTGGGTTGCTGCAGTGCTGCACTCTGGACCAGAGCATACCAGAGCGATGCACCGAAGACTTCAAGATGCTTGGCTTAGATGCAGATCGTTTTACGACAGCAGGAATGTACATCACAATAGCAAGGATGCTGTCAAGCACGTCTTCCCATCCCAGGCTCACTTGTTCTCAAAGTCAGACTTGTCTGGAATGTTTTCCTCTGTGTCTACTAAGTCGCTGAAGAGGTTGGAGCAGCTTTCCTGCCGTTGCTGCAGATGCAGGCAAGGCCGGGTGTGCAAGAAAAGCTTCGCACAGTCTTGCTGGTAAAGACCATGTCATGCATGGTACCGAAATTCAGCACGACTTGATGCCGCCTCTCGGACCATGATGTTGTCGCCACCTTTCAGGTTGTCTGGCAAATTCAAGCAGGGTGTTTGTCTCACTGCAGCACACTGCAGTAACATCAGTTTCCATCTCGTACTAACACTACCAAGCCTGCGCCTGTACTGGAGGCCTGTGGCGAAGGCACCTTCACGGAGAGACGGCAGACATCTGACGCTGGAAAAGCATCTCTGAGTTCCGAGATAAAAACGGCTGAGAGCATTACCCACGGCTCAGACACACATTCGGGAGCACCAGCATAGCCTGCCAGGGAGGGAGAGAGATGCTTCGCAAACAGGATCAAATCGCCACTCCGTTCAAGTCTCTAGACTGCCTCCATCCGCCAGCTCGCCCAGGTGCGAGGCAGAATCGCGGCGATAGCCGCCCTTAGCGGACAAAAGGTGAGACTTGGGGTGCTGCAAGAGATCAGGATTCGGGGATGCACTTAAGTCGAAACTCGCTAACATCTCCAAACTTGCTTCGACACACAGGCTTGGGCCCCGGCCAAGCAGTCGAGCGCTAGCTTCGATGGCCTGAGTGGCTGCGATTGCGGCATCAAGCAGCTCTCAGTGTTGCAGATCATACCCAGCTGAACACAAGCTCATCTTCAACCATCGTGCACTATACACCGACAAAGCCCGAGACTTCCGTTCACGGATGGTGGGTGCGAGCAGGTCTGATAAAGAGGCAGTGGTCTGAATGCCTGGCAATGGGCATCGGTCAAAGCCAATTCGCTGTCTGCGCACGGTGTACCCAGGTGGGCGCAAGTCCAGAGCCTCCGGTCGATCCTTCCGGGAAAATCTGGCTGCCTTCCCCGGAAAGCCTGTCTGCAATCTTGCGTACGCCGCACGTTAGTCTAACCGTCACATTAGGTCACTTGGTGTAAGCTCAATCAAGGTGCTTGGATTGAAGGCGAGCGGAGGAGGACCGGCGATCCTGAGCAGGCAGCAACGTCAAGGAGAAGATCTCACGGTGTCGCCACCACCGCCACCGTGAACTGCATCAGTCAGATCCAGCACGTGCTGGAGTTAAGGCTGCTTCGCCAAAGGCACCACGAGCCGACCTGAAGAGACATCGCATTGGCATGATATTCGTGACTCCCTACCCTACCCCTTTCTTCAGAGTGGATCTCCCATCCCACGGTATGCTGCTGCCTAAGCCATTCACTGATCAAAACGGGATATGGACCGAGCAATGACAGCAGTGTCTCAGCATTACGGCTCAACCTCCTTGTTTCGCGTGTCTCAACCCATGCTGCCCTCATGCCTGAAGCGCAACTCGTCAGGGTCATAGGCGACGAAGTTCTGCCAGCAGTGTGCATCCGCAACTGTTCGATTCAGCAACTGGCCGAACTAGTGGCATTTCACCATCCATGGCATGTTCATTTAACCTTTGGCGGTCGACATTTGTCTAACGACCTGTGGGGAAGCGATACTGCTTGAAGCGCTGTAGTATCAACGACATACCAGCAGGCCGCCTCTATGATGAAGACGCCACCGTTTGGCGGCACGACGTCTCGCTTAACTGCGGCCGATGCAAGTGATTCTGTTGTAGCGGTGATGTACATTCCACATGGCACATGTACCGTCACAGACACTATGATCTGCTACAGGACAACAGAAGACAGAGATGCACAGGCGATGTAACAGACTGCTGCCGCTCGTTCCGATCGCTGCTTATGCCCTTGGTGTCGCACCAAGGTCAGCAATGTGGACAGCTCGATTCACGCGCTCCTCCCATCGAACCTCGACCAAGACCAGCTTTGAACGACTTGACTAGCATCAACCTCAACACGGAAAGCATGCAACTTTGTTGTAGCTGCTGTAGCATCGCAGCAGCCTCAAGCTAAGAAGATCATTGCCCCACGTCAGAGTCCAAGATGAGACTCGGATAGCACAGGAACTAGCCGAAAGGTCTCGCTAAGAGCATTGAGCCAAATTATCGGGAGATCCCGCCGTTTCTTGCCTACCACTTGCGCACATCATCGTCTCTTAAGTTGTTCGCATTTGACGGTTCACTGGTGCCTCGGTTGACTCGAGATGTAGAACACTGTCCCGCTGCATCTTCGCTGTGGAACAGCTATAGACCTGCTGGAATTTGCTTCCTGGCGTTGGAGAAGAAGCCCCCCTGTGGCTAAAAGCTGCAACTGCGCATTGCTTCGAACCGGGTCTTCTGCGAGAGTGCCCTTCAGGTCTACCGCCCGGGCAAGTCGTCGAGTCCAGGCGCCCGACACCGCGACCATTGTTGTCGCAGATGACATACTTGTACTCGACGACGGCTCCCTGCGACAACTCCGCGAGTGGTTTCGGAACAGTGAAAGCGCCCGCGCACATGAAGACTATACACTTTTCCTGCTTCATAAGCTTGTTACCTCCTCTAAGGGGAGGATGTCCGTCTGCTTCCACACGGGGAAGTCGCTCGCTGAGGTGTGCAGCACGAGACCTCCAGCATTTCTGAAGAAGTGCCGGCTCTATGCTGCAAGACCATCAGCGACATTCAACGACTGATCTTTCGGATCTCCGGCTGGGAACCCCGCTAACTTTTCATGCTCAAGCCCACAGCACTGGCAAGACCAACAGCTTGATTTTTTGAGACCCTTTGGCCCGAGTCTGCAGCCTTTGTGCGTGTCCCATGAGCCGAGCGCACCAATGCTTCCTGCATTGGCGATACGTCTTAAAAACAAAACCCGAGCAGCAGTTTCATCTGCCTTGCGCATAAACGTACGAGCATCGAGTTCTTATCACACCACGAGATGTACAATCTGATGCGTGCTCGGCACTTCTCGGCCTACTACTCGGACATGCAGGCCAACACCTGAGCACGAGATGCACGAGTGATCGTGGAAGCTGCATAGTTGATTTAGCAATGCAACGGAGAAGAGCTTGGCAACACCGAGAGAGAGGAAGAAGGAGAGATGTGAGCAGGCAACATTCCGAGCCTGGGCCAAAACAGGTGAGGCTGGTTGCAGTCAAGTGGCGAGTGTCGGCGCATTTCACGGAAAACGATACCTGACAGTTAGAGGTGGAGCCGTGTGCTCCTGAAACACGACACGACGTATGTCACTGGGCATGATCACTCAAATTGGAACCGCGTCTTCCTTCAGACCTCTGCCTTTTAAACGCTTGAAATAACATGTTTCGATGCAAGAGTAGCGTTCTAGCAGACATACAGAAAGGAAAGACAGCAGGCAACATAGCATCCTGGCAGACAGACACACAGCGAATCACATAGACACTCGCAGCACGCAACACACGCAAACACGCTTGCAAAAGAGGTCCTCTTGCTCTCCATGGATGTGTACGTACCCACGGCACGCGTCGTTTGCCCACACACATGCTGCGCTGCTGCTGCTGCTGCCACTCGTCCGTTCTGCTGCTGCCGATGCTCAAAGGACCAAACGCCTGTTCGTACTACTATAAAGGGGGCTTTGTCGTAGAATCCTTCGTCCCTGCCAGTGTTTCCGATTATGCAACGTATGTGCTAAAGCAACAAGTTCTGGAGGCGAAATGCCAGAGTCGCCACGCAGGGCCTGTAGGGGTCGCAAATTTGCCAACCTGAAAACCGAAAATATATAAGAGTTACAGGCTGGCATTGGAGAGCGGACGGGTGATTATCAACCCCCGAGATGCTTGTGCAGTCGACAAGTGCGTTTGGCTCGGCAGGAAGCGGCCGAGTGAGCAAAACAGAGAGTCCCAACTTCCGTGCATGCTTGCGCCTTCGGATTTGCGGTTTTCAGGTTGGCAAATTTGCGA